ACTATTTCTGCATTGAAATCTGTATCTGTGGTCGCACTGTCTCCTGTGCTCTCTCTGTCAATGGGCTAAAGAGCCCTGGCTCCACACATACAGCACACATCAAGTGTTAGCATTCCTTCTAGGCTCTGCCCAACATCTACCTGGCAACAACCACGTAGGCCTGGCTTCCTAGAAAAGAGGTGTTTGTTCCCTCCTCACTCTCCTATTCTCTTTGCCTTTTTTTCTCTCTGATTTCTTTTCCCTCTGTTCCTTCATGCACACTCCACCCCGCTTCTCTGTCCAAGTATTCCTGACTGACCTTTTCCCCTCCCCCTCTCTCTGCCTGTCTCTATTCAACTCCCCTTCTCATGTCCATAAACAAACTCTATTCTATACAATATCTGTCATATGGTTTGTACCTGATAGGGAAGGGATGGGTCCTTCAGAGGCACTCCTCACACTTCACCATACTTGGCTCTACAAAACATATCCTGGTTCTCTCTTTTGAACAAAACACAACATGAAGCCTCCCTGAGCACCGTTTCACCTCACCATTAAGTGGAAAGGATGTGGTTCCTCACCTGAGACCAGGCGTTCCAGGGGGTCACTAGGCTCTGACCACACTTCTGGGTTATGACTGTCATAGTAGTAGCATCTGAATGTCCACCTCTGGTTGGAGGTCACTGGATGTACAGAGAAGAAGGCCTCAAATTTCCTAGTAGTATAGTTATACCATGAGTTCTGCATCTGGTAGAGTTTTTGTGGTCCTTCCTTAGTCAGAATAAACCTGTCATAATTCTGCCCTGACACACACTGGAGGATAACCTTCTGTCCTGAGGTCACCACAGGGCTGGGCTGGGCTGACAGGCTGGGTTTACTGTGTGCTCCTAGGAGAAAAGGCAGAATCAAGTTACATGTGTCAGGCCTTGTCATCCCCCAGGGCTGTGAGGTGGCAGTGCAGCAGAGAGCAGTCTGACTTCTTGAGAGTGAAGCCTGAGGATGGGGCATTGTTTTTCTTCTCACCTGTCACCACGAGCTCCAGGGCGTCACTGACCTGTGAATGTTTACCATTGATCTGATAATAACAGTAGTAATGTCCTGCATGGTGCTCGTCAATTTTTGAGATGGGGAATTCAGCTGTGTTGCCAGATTTAGATGGAATTTCTTTGCACAGTGGATATTGGCTTCCTTCTTTATAAAGACAGTACCATCTGGCTCCTTGGGTCCCCCCACACAAGAAGGTCACCTTACTCTGCTTGGAGACCACAGAGTCTGGCTGTACTCTAAGGATAGGCTTAGGAAGGGACCCTGCAAGAAAAAGAGCAGGCAGGCCTCAGATCATCCATCCTCTGATTCCAGTCCTTAACCCCATGACCCTCAGGTTACCCTCAGGAATAACACACATGTGGTGTTTTCCATCATTCCCACCCAGGCATGGCTCCTGGGTATGAAGAAAAGAGCAGGTCAGGGAAGCTGAAGACACTCACCTGCCAGCACTGAGATTCTGAGTCCCAGAGTGTGTCCTGGAAGAGAGTTTCCTGTGAGAGGTTTGTCCCTGAAACTTGATCAGCTCCTTCCCTCTGCACAAACAACTAAGCCTCTGGGGTCTCCTGATGGGTCAATGCTCAGCTACTGCCCCTGATCATTTCTAGACCTCAGTATCCCCTCCCCCTCTTCAAGTCTCACCAAGACAGAGCAGGGCTGTGAAGGTGAAGGTCATGGCATCTCTCAGAGGCTACAACTCTGCTTGAGGGCAGTGCTCTGCTCGAGAAGTCTTTCAGAAGGGATTGGAAACAGGGTATGGCCCTGGAGGCAGGGATGTCCTTATGACATGGTCACATTTCAGCAGTCTCACAGGAAGGGGAACTGCCCTCCTCAGCCAACATGCTGTGACTTCCTCAATGTTGTGACTAGGCCAAGCAGTAGACTCTTGCAAACTTGTCTTACACAGATGACATTTCCTTAGCTGACCAGTGTCTGCCTCACCTCTGACCATCACTGTCACAGCTATGTTTTAGCAGACATGTGTGAACATCTAACACAACAGTACAAATTTAAGTGTGATTTTGTTTTGTTCCTTTTCACATTTTTAGGTGATAAATTTTTCTCTTTTGCACATTCTTGATGTTTCTGAGAAGGGTCCTGCTGTATATATCTGCTTGGAATACGATTTAAAGTATTTTTTGTTTCATATTCTTAAATGATATATTACAATTGGGCATTGCAATGTTGTGTGTGTTTGTGTGTACATACATACATATATATGTATATGTGTTTGTGTGTGTCAGAATACAACTTGAGTGATCCGTCTTTCTTTTACAATGTCCATCCTATCAATAATAGACAGGTCTTATAGGTGGCAGCAGGCAACTATACCCTGAGCCATCTCACTGACCCAACACTTATACTCATCATTCTCCTAAGTCCTTCTGCTTCGGTCAAAAAAAATTGATCCCAGGTGTCTTGGACCTAAAATGTTGCCATGTTTTTGTTTCTTAGGATATAAGTTCTCACTGTATGAGGATGGCCACAGTTCAGTGCACAGTGGTGCAGGCATGGGCAGCATTTGTGAGCACCAGTGTATCTCCATATTGCAGGTATAAACTTGAGAAGCTAGCAAATGGGTTGCTGAATGATGCTACCACACAGGTGCAGTACTAGTTGCAGGGTGTAGGTTTGTTTTGTTTTGTTTTTTATAATTTATTTTTTCTTAAATCATGATTCATTCACACAGGGGTTATAAACACAGAAAGGCAGGATGTGGGGAAGGGAATGACACTGGAGTGTGGGTGATCAGGGGGAGTACAGATATCTTCAGAACCGGGTATCGGCTGGGTGAAGGTTCAGGGGAAAAGTCACTATGACTGCCTATGACTCGCATGTCATTATCTAAGTTATTATTGTCTGCCAAGGCTACCTATTTACAAGGTCTATGACTACTCAGGCTGGTAAACTGTCACAAAAGCTGCCTGTTTACAATAGCTTATAGCCATCTGTTTCAATGTTATTCCATTGAGACCCAAGAGTCGGTGTTAGAATACATGTATGACAGGCCTATTGCTGATTTTAGGCCTATGGCTGATTTTAGGCCTTCAGTGTGTAAGCAGGGATGCCCCTGACATCTCCAACCTTCTCTAAGTATAGAAGGGTTGTGGCAATTCTAATCTTGCGAAGGCAGGGATAGAGGCCTGACCTCCAGCACCTGAAGGGGACTTTGTAATGGCTCCAGTCCCCCTGTCATTGTCCAGTGAGGCATGAGGGCCATAACCATCCCAATGTCTTTTTCCTGGAGAAGGGATACTTTTGACATCAACCCCTATGCAGTCAGACTTGTCCCTCAGGGAACCTAGATAGATATTTTTATCTTTTATTTACATTCCCTTGCAGTGCTTAGCCTCGCAGCCTAAGCAAGAATTCAGATCGCCTGTCAGAGGGGGTTCTGGGTGGCCCCTCTCTGCTTGGTCTAGGGGCAGAAGTCCTCCCTTTTAGGTTGGGTGGAGATGGGTTTTGGAAACACCCTGTATAAAGTAACAACCTCATCTTGAGTCTTGTGGTCCTCCATAGCTAACTTATGATAATGTATCTGAATAGGTTTTGCTACCAAATTATTTACCTGTTGTATCACAGAGTTAGTCATCCTATTTGAGGGCCAGGATGAGCAGAAATAAGCAAAAAGAACCCAAATAATGGCCCCAAGATGGGAGGAAACAGGGTTGACAACCTTAGAGAGGCTGAAAACCAATTCTTGTACCAGCATTCATCCATCTCTTTCTCTCTCTGATTTTTCTAGGGGCCTTCACTGACCTATTTCATACTCTCTTTAACCCTCCTTGTCTTGTCTATGTAAAGGCAACATTCTTCTTTAAGGGCTGTACACAGTTAAGAGCTGTACACAACCTTTTCTATTGTAATAGAGTAAATCAAGTCTAATAAGGATCTTTGCGATTTTAGGAGTTCTCTTCAGACAGTGAAATGAGGGATTTCTTCAGATTAGTGATGTCAATCTCTAGCTGTTTAATGTTCTTGTCAGTGGCTCTTCAAAGGTCTGAGTAGTATAAGATCGGAGGCCAGCATCTGGATTAGAACTTCTAACAGCAGACATCACGGGTGATTCATTTTTACCTGGAAAGGAAAAAGAAGGGAATTCTCAGGGAGATTTCTCTTCCCTGGATGTAAATTGTTATTCATCTTATTTATGGTTGGGCCTGGCTTTGTAGGGGTATCTATTTATTTCATTAATCTTTTTGGTAGCCAGTTAGCTATGCCTTCTGTGGTATCAGACAGGCATATCAATCCTTGGCCCCGTAAGGGAACTGGGTCTGGGCCATTCCCTTTAAGGGTGAGAGGGTCCTTCCCCATATCTGTGGCAAAGTTTTATTGGTCTCGGTGGTACCAGAGGCAGTCAGCAGCAGATTTGCCATGAGCTTTCAGCTTTAGAGAGATAAAAGTGAACAAGGCATGATGGAGAGTATTTCAGGGGGGACTCCTTCTTGGGGGTTACCATTCCCCGTCTTTTGTTTTTAAAGCCAATTTTTCAGAGTTCTTGTATAATCAGGTTAGAAGCGCCAACAGTTGCTCCTTCCACATTCAGAGAGTCATGAAGACCCTATTTAAGGATATATAAATCTATATTAATAATCTTTTGTCAAAGGACTGTTACAGCACCGCCGACAACTAATCAGAGTATATAATATATTGATTAGTAATAGCTTCTTCTACTTTTTGTGGGATTACTTCTCTTTTGTCAATTAATTGTTGAGGAAAATTAGGATTTACATCTCTCTTGAGAATATTGAACAGAGACTTAAATTCTTTTGTGGAGAGCTTATAATAGGGTCTTAGCCAATTAGCAACTCCTAGAAACTTTTGAAAATAATTTAAAATAAGTAAACACTCTCCCTCTCTTTTTTTTTTTAGACCCTTTATCTGTGTTTTTTTTTTATTACTGGATATTATACGTATTTACCTTTCAATGTTATCTCCTCTCCCATTCTCCCCCAAAACCCCTTATCCCATACCGCCTCCTCCTATTTTTGTGAGGGTGTGCTCCAAAATCCTCCCAGTCTCTTCTCCCTGCTCTTGAGTTCCCAAACAGTAGGGGATCCAAACTTTCAGGCACCGTGGCCCTCCACTTCCACTGAAGTCTGACAAGGTCACCCTATACAGATGCGTGAGTCCCTCCCTTTGTGCTCTCTGGCTGGAGGTTTAGATTCTGGAAGCTCTGCTTGAAACTTTTGATACTCCTTCTAGAAAGGACCAAAGCATCCACACTTTGGTCTTCCTTCTTCTATGTGAGTTTTATGTGGCCTATATGTTGTTTCTTAGAAGTAGTGAGCTTTTAGGCTAATATCCACTTATCAGTGAGTGCATACCATGTATGTTCTTTTGAGATTGGGTCATCTCACTCAAGATGATATTTTCCAGCTCCATCCATTTGCCTAAGAATTTCATGAACTCATTGTTTTTAATAGCTGAGTAATACTCCATTGTATAAATGTACCACATTTTCTGCATTCATTCTTCTGTGGAAGGGCATCTGGGTTCTTTCCAACTTCTGGCTATTATAAATAAGGCTGCTATGAACATGGTGGAGCATGTGTCCCTGTTGTATGTTGAAACATCTTTTGGGTATATGCCCAGGAGTGGTATAGCTGGGTCCTCAGGTAACACTATGTTCAATTTTCTGAGATACCGCCAGACTGCTTTCCATAGTGGTTGTACCAGTTTACAATCCCACCAACAGTGGAGGAGTGTTCCTCTTTCTCCACATCCTTGACAACATCTGCTGTCACCTGTGTTTTTGACCTTAGCCATTCTGACTGGTATGAGATGGAATCTCAGTGTTGTTTTCATTTGCATTTCCCTGATGACTAGGGATGCTGAACACTTCTTTAGGTGCTTCTCAACCATTTGAGCTTCTTCAGTTGAGAATTCTTTGTTCATCTCTGTGATCCATTATTTAATAGGGTTCTTTGATTATCTAGAGTCTAATTTCTTCAGTTCTTTGTATACCTTGGATATTAGCCCTTTATCAGATGTAGGGTTGGTGAAGATCTTTTCCCAATCTGTTGGTTGCAGCTTTGTCCTATTGACTGTGTCCTTTGCTTTACAGAAGCTTTGCAGTTCTATGAGGTCCCATTTGTCAGTTGTTGGTCTTAGAGCACAGGCCATTGGTGTTCTGTTCAGGAACTTTTCTCCTGTGCCTATGTGTTCCAGGCTTTTCCCCAGTTTCTCTTCTATTAGTTTCAGTGTGGCTGGTTTTAGGTGGAGGTCTTCGATCTACTTGGAATTGAGCTTTGTACAAAGAGATAAGTATGGATCAATTTGCATTCTTCTACATGCTGACCTCCAGTTGTAACAGCACCATTTGTTGAAAATGCTGTCTTTTTTCCAGTCGATGGCTTTAGCTCCTTTGTCAATGATCAAGTGACCATAGGTATGGGGGTTCATTTCTGGGTCTTCCATTCTATTCCATTGATCCTCCCACTTGTCTCTGTTCCAATACCACACAGTTTTTACCACTATTGCTTTGTAGTACAGCTTGAAGTCAGGGATGGTGATTCCCCGAGAAGTTCTTTTATTGCTGAAAGTACTTTTTGCTATCCTGGGTTTTTTGTTATTCCAAATGAATTTTAAGATTGCTCTTTCTATCTCTGTGAAGAATTTACTTGGAATTTTGATGGGGGTTGCATTAAATCTGTAGATGGCTTTTGGCAAAATAGCCATTTTTACTATATTAATCTTTCCAATCCATGAGCATGGGAGATCTTTCCATCTTCTGAGATCATCTTCGATTTCTTTCTTCAGGGGCATGAAGT